CCCCCCCCCCCCCCCCCCATATCCCCCCCCATCCCCACCCTTGCAAGGAAGCAAAAGAAACACGGACACAGCAAGTCCAATGTAGAAAGCAGCCGGCTTGCAAGCAAACATCGGGAACGGAGAAGCCGCGGATGACTGGAATACCCAGTCCAAGCTGCCATGTGCGAAAAGTTGAGTTTCGACACAGCGCGGCTCTGAAATCGAACTTGCTCCTGGTCAGGAAAACACCGCAAAAAAAAGGATACGAAATGCAGAACGGAGGTGTTTTTTTGTCCAGACAGCCATGTGCCAAAACTCGAGTTTTAAGCACATTGAAGCCTTGAAAGCGGGACACTCTCCGCGACGGCAGACGCAACAGCTGCCAACAACAACCACAACAACGGCAACACCACAGCGTAGCCACAACAGCCTCAACCACAGCATCAGCATCACTTGCGACTACGACGCCGACGCCAACCTGCTGCCCTGCTTGCCTCATGACGGCCCAACACCATGCTTCTCAACGTCTGTAATTACACAGGTTGCTGGTTTGCATGCTCGTAGCCAGCCGTCAAAACGAAGAAAGCCTCTTCCTTGCAGAGCAAGTCGAGGAGTTTGCTTTTTGGGTCTGCCAATAAGCAATGCGGTCATGATTGCTGGCTTTGTGAAGTAGTATCCTGTTCCCTTCCATGTCGCAGACAGAAGAAACTACCATCGGTAGCAACAGCATCAACAGTATCGCGCACAGATATCCACACCCAAGCCTCAATATGTAGAAACTGAGAAGCGCTAGTCCACAGCCGTTCGGCCTGCAACACTTCCCAAGGAAGGCGCCAGCATGCAGGCACGAACCCCTCCAGACCCCCTGGTCAGCTATCGCTCCCAGAGCGTCTGCAAGCGGCGCAGGTCTCTATGTATTACATGATTGTATTATAGCATATCACACGACTTTGCTATGTTTTAGTCACAGTCTTTTTTATTGTCGGCGATTTATAGTGTAATTCATGTTATTATATGATATTACCTTCCCACTTTCATGTCATCGAATTTCCAGATGTTTATGGTCCAAGGTTTGAGGGTAGGTTCCCAGCTTAAAGATCTTAAAAGCTGAGGTCAGGAATTCTTGGCTTCCGCTGCTCAACCATGTACGCCTAGGGTTTAGGGTTTAAGGTTTAGCGTATAGGGTGTAAGGTCTATGAGTTTAAACTTCTTCGAAGACTCCATGCGTGTATCGTTCGTCTCCGCTGCAGACGAGCTGAGAGTGCCTCCCAGCGACTGGCTGTGCCCATTCCACACCCAAAGGGTCCAAGTACTAGTATAGTATATACGTTCTGGGCCCAAATACCTACTAAGTACCTACTATAATGGTACTTGGACCCTTTGGGACAGCTGCCAATCCAGGCCGCCTAGGCCTTCTTGTCACCAGTCTGGCCCACTCTTCGGTTTCGGGTGTAGGGTTTAGGGTATAGGGTATAGGGTATAGGGTTTAGGGTTTAGGGTTTAGGGTATAGGGTATACGGTTTAGGGTTTAGGGTTTAGGGTATAGCGTATAGGGTATAGGGTTTAGGGTTTAGGGTTTAGGATTTAAGCTCTCAACCCTAAGCCCTGAACCTTAAACGTATGCGAGGGGCGCATGAGGCCAAAACACTTACCCCCAGGATACCGACTGAGGGGCCTTTCTGATTCTGTGGACGGGGCAGGACAAATTGCTGCAGAGAGCCCAATACCCAGTTGCTTTAGAAGCTTCAGGCATCTCCACGACATTTGAAGGATTCCTGTCTAGTATCTGGGATTTCCTTAAATTATATATAATGCCAATTTAGGGCGTAGGGCTCTCTGGGAAGGTCAGTGGCAGAAGTAAGAGCGTAAGACGGCGTTCTTCTTACAATGTAAAACGTTTGACTTCGATGTCGAAACTCCTCCTAGTTTGCGCGCTCTAAGCGTGGAGACTTGATGCAGGGAGCCCGGAAACGTGCATGCTGCGATGTATCTGGGATCTTCCAGAGTGAATGTAGTCATCAACTTGTCGAACAGCCAGTGGTATTCATGGACATTGCAATGTCATTCAAGATCATGTCCGGTCTTGCTGTACGTTGGACAACTTGCCTGCATTCGGCAAGCTTACCTGGAGTTGAAGAGAGCAGAGTGAGGTGAGAGATATACAGATTTGCTACCTGCAGCCGCAAAGAGGACTTTGGCTACATACCTCGAAAACCCTAAGGCCTCGCACGGTAGCGATAGCATATCGACTTGGGACTTGCCAAACTGCGTCTAAAAACCTGCATGAAGTAGAAATTCCGGGCGGACCGGCGGACCGAAAGGCCACGGATGTACATTATAAAGTCTTGTAGACAATTTGTCTGTATATATACAGACTCACACACATATGTACAGCATCTATGTGTCTGTATGTATGTATGTATGTATGTATGTATGTATGTATGTATGTATGTATGTATGTATATGTATGTATGTATATGCATGTATATGTTTATATGTATGTATGTATATGTTCATATGTATGTATGTATGTATGTATGTATGTATGTATGTATGTATGCATATATGCATGTATGTATGTATGCATGCCTGTATGTAGGTATGTATGTATGTATGTATGTATGTATGTATGTATGTATGTATGTAGGTGTGTTTTTTTTTGTGTTGT